AGTTTGAACGGGATGAGTTCAAATCTCATGATGACCAGTAGATTAGTCAAAGTGCGAATGCTCAGACGCTCATGGATATAAAAAAAAATCCCATAAGAAAAACCAAATGTCATTTTGTGACCTTTTTTTTTAATAAAAGAAATAATATTTTTATAAACACGTATTTATTTTGTGGCATTTAGTATAATTTCGTCTATATATATATATATATATATTCTTCACGGGAAAATAAACAAAAATATTTTTAAAGTTTTGTTATTCGTTGCCTTGAAACTAAGAAACCAAAACACGACATGGTTATGTCTGGTTGCTTCAAATTTTTAATTACGAACAATTATGTTTGATCACGAAAATGACCAACACTGCGAACTTGGACGTCAAGATGACCAGGCGGATGAGCTGGAGCAGACTAGGCATGTGACCTGTAAAATAAAGAACACTCCGATGTCAAAGCCAGGAACAATCCAAGGTGCTTTTCAGAGAGAAAATGGATGTTCACATAACTCAAAACGGAGCAAATGGGTTTTATTTATAAGCGACTTCCCCGACAATATTTCCGACAATACCTCAACGACTCTTTAAGGTAGTCGAAAATCATGACGCATTGTCGTGGAATTTGTCGGAGGCTGGGACTGAGCTGAGATAAAGCTGATCAATTCAACAAGTAAATGGGAACAGATTCTCATTGAGTTTGATCGGCTCGGCCACGCAAGACGTCGGCTCGACTACAAGAAATGAAAATGAGATGTGAGGCTTTCTCGAGGGAGGCCATGTGTAATGCTCATCACCCAACCAACGTATACCACGTCTATGGTGAAAATCGCCTCCAATAAATCTTAGGACCACAATTATTTGTTATTACAATTTTCATATAATTATATATATTATTAGAAATTGTGGTCTAAATTAGTTAATACAATCCAAGAACATGTGTATTGTGTCCAATTTGATGGGATTGTTGTTGAATATTTCAATCTATTTGACAATTTGTTTTTGTCCTCTTGATGTGTAGAAAAATAAGGTCCTTGAGATTTGGCTTGTCTTTGACTATCCTGAAGGTCAACTCTACGAAGCTAATATTTATGATAATTAAAAAGAAAAAAAAAAGAATCAATTCCCATTAATAATATCAAATTCATAATTGACATTTTTTAATTATATTTAAAGAGGCTTTATTAAAAAATACAAAATGTATATATCGAAATTTGATTTTTTTTCCCTTTTGAAAGATCATTTTTTTTTCTCACTAAAGCATAGTCAAGTGGAGATTTTTGTAAATAAAACTTGCAATTAAAATAATAAGTTGATTAGATTTCGTGTTTTGAGTGCTTTAATTTTAGACTCAATTTAGTCTCATTGCTTTGAAAGTTTCATTATCATTTCATTTTTGTAAAATTATAATTTTTAAAAAAATCCCTATACTACTATTAGTCAAAATTAACAAAAATCAAAACCTAATAAATTATGTCATGAAATTTACTTGACAATGTAAAAATAAAAATAAAATTTGTTATAGGTAGGTGAAAATTATCGTGGTGGGTCACTCTAAATGAGGCTAAAGAAATAAAGCGAGTTAAGTCGACCATCCGATCAGACTCAACTGGATCGAGTTGACTACTTTAAGCTAGTCCTGTAACATCTCACAATTCACTTAGTGCTAAAAGGAATGAGATCCCCTGTATATAGGAGGAGAGATTCTATACGTGAAGTACATTTACAAAATCATATTTTTTTGCCATGCTCGATTTAACTAATTGTCTGAATATCAAAGTGTATTGTATTTAGTATTACACTGGTGTGTGTACCTCATTTCTTGTGCAGGTGTTCATCCATAGCATTCGACATCGAGGCCGAGATCCAAATCGTACATCAACAAAATTGATTTTGAAACCAACTGTTTGAAAATCCAAATCAACTACTCCAACCAAAACCAATCGATCAAGACAATCAATCGATACTAAACTAATCGAATTATGTTCCATTCTAAACTTTTACTAAATCAAGTCGGTCGATATGCATTGCTCAAACCAGTTAAACTAATCAACTCGGGTTGGTAGGCTCGATTATCGAGCCATTGGAGAGAGAAAGTGGGGGAAGGGGACCATTAAGGGCTCCACGCCCAAAATCCAAGTGGTCGACAAGTGGAAACACAAGGAGATCCCTTTTGGACCATCACCACTTATTTTAGTCAAAATAAACACTCTAAAATTCCCCCATGCACGTCGAACCTTCAACTATCCAATTTCTACTTTCCTTCTTAATTTCTTTTTCTCTTTTTCTTTTCTTCTTTTAAATTTATTTATTTTATTAAAAACTATTGAATGTGAGCGACATAAAATAATAATAAGAAGAAAAGTGGGTCAATTTAGTTCTTGAATTTAAAGAAAAAATTGATTAATTGTTAACTTTTAAATTATATTTCAATTTAGCTTCATTAATATAAATTAAAATTAACAATATCATGTTTATATTATAAACATGACTCAAATTTCAAAGCTGTTAATTGAATTTTTTTTAGAAGTTCATAGACAATAAATAGACACAATAATCCAAATCTAGAGACTAAATTGATAACGAATCAAAACCGGAATTTTTCCTAAAAGGGACTCAACAAAATAAATTAAAATTTTAAATTCCAGTTTGGTTCACCATTTTAAAAGGATCTATTTTTAAACCCTAAACTTGTAAGTTTATTTCATTTTAGTCCCTCAAATTTATATGATCAATTTTAATCCACAGACTTTGAAAACAAAAAAAAAAACAATCATTTTAATTTTTTAGTATAGCGTGTGGAATTGAGGGATCGAACTCACAACATCTTGATTGAACATATATGTTAATTATCATTGAACTATGTTTGTTTTGGTAGTCATTTAAACCTGAATTAAGTGATTTCAAATATGTGTGTATTAATGTAAACTTGTATTAAAATGTCACAAATTTTTAATGCAGGAGCTCAATAAAAGTTTGGAAAGCTGGTGGATGAAAATAAAATAAATCTAAAATTTAAATTTCGAAATGGCCTATTATAGATGTCATAATTAATAAAAAGGACCAACGAAAATGACTTACCAACGTTTAACAATTACGGGAGAAAAAAAAAGAAAAGAAAATAAGAAACAAACGAACAAAAAGGGGTGAAAGTGGATAAGGTTTGGGATTAATTAAAATTAATTAATTTGGAGGCTTTGGGCAACCAATGGAAGGGAAGGGAAGGGAAGGCTTGGCACGCCGAAGTCACGTGCGGTGGATGCATAATGGAATAACTGAAACCCGGATTCCTTTTACAAATCCGCGTTCACACCTAACTGAAGTTTAAAAAATAAAATGGAAAATTGAAAATTAAAAATTAAATCTCCGTAAAGATTCTGCTTTTTAAACGCGTTCACACTGGGGATCAGACCCCAAGATTCCACGTTTCGCCCTTTTCACATTGCTTTTTATTATTATTATTATTATTTTTAATGCGCTCTTCTTTTTGCTTTTATTTTCTCTTTTTGGAAAAATTAGAAATTGCCTTTCTTTGACTGACTCGGCTCATTCACTTGAGCCGGCTTCTCCCCTTCAAATTTTATTTTATTTTATAATAATCTTATTTTATGAATATTTTATTTAAAATTAAAAAAGATATTTGGTCATGTATTTTCTTTAAAATAATGATTTAGCCTGTGAGGTAATAATCTAGTGTATGTAATAATTTAATCTCTATAATTTAAAATTTATAATAATTTCATCAAACTTAAATGTCTATTTTGGTCATATAATAATTTAATTTTTGTAATTTATAAATACATTTGATCTTTTATCGATTTATTCATTTACAAATATAAAAAACTTAACAAAAATTTTTCCTGGACCGTAACAAACTTTTTTTAGTAGAGGATTGTTACAAACTTTAAACTACATAATTAAATTGTTACGTACTAAAATGCAGGGATTAAATTATTACCAATTTAAAAGTATATAGATTAAAGCATTACAAATTAAAATTTAAGGATTAATCGATACTTCACTAAAAAGTATAGAAATTAAAGTATTTTTTAATATTTAGTTAATTTGTAACAATTACTAATATTTGCTGAAATTAACACTCTTATAGTTATCTTTTCTTTTCTTTTTCTTTTATTTATTATTTTTAGTTTAAAGATTTGTCTATGGTGTTTTGAGACTATAACATCGTGGCTATGCAAGGTTATTTCTATTGACACTATTGTTTCGTTCAAATGTTTTTTTTTTGTTTATTTTTTCTGAGATGGGTGTGTTTGATATTACTAGACATCTTTAACAACGACATATGAAAAAGACAGAAAAAGAGAGACGATATAGAATTAAAAAAATAGAAATATAGCATAGTCCAACTATATAAAAAAAACAATAAAAATATTAAAAAATTTATCTGTAGAGACTACAAAATCATTATAGGATAGAAATTGAATGTTCTAATACATATTTAGATGGCGTTCAAAGATTAGTTAATAATGTTTGAAGTGTTATCAAGACGAGCTATCAATCACATGAGAATAACATCGATGGATGTCATTGAACACCGCGACTGATATCCTATTTCCACAAACGCCACTTTTATCCCTTAAAAATTAAGCATAAATTATAATAACACATGACAAAATATAAAAAACGAACGGCTAGTGGAAGCCGAGCCGAAGAGCAGGCGCGTAGCGCAGCACGCACTTGAAAAATATAATCTTATAATCTACGATTGGAGGAAGCGAGTAACCGGGAGTGCCAGTAAGTATCATGGCTGCCGTCACTCACCGCCTTTAAATTTAATGAGAGTAATGAGAATACCTTTGAACCGATCCCTCCGTTTCCCGGTCAACCTCTGCCACGTGTCCCCATTTTCATCCTACGTGGCACACCCATCTCCACCATCCTTCTATATATATAAAACCTCTCCCCTCTTTTCCGTTCCTCCCAATAAAATTAAATCAATTCTCTCTCTGAAAACATAATTAAAAAAAAATTTAATCATCGTTGTTCAAATGGGCAACTGTCTACGGCGGGACGGGGCGGCGGAGCGGTGGGCCGGCGAGGAGTGGGGATTTTTGGCCGAGGAAAAGCAGGGCTCTGCGGCGGCGCCCACGGCGGCGGCAACGGAGGTGAAGATCAAGATCACGAAGAAGCAGCTGGAGGAGCTGCTGGGGAAGGCGGATGTTAAGGGGCTGTCCGTACAGCAGGTTCTGGCTCAGTTGATCGCCGTCGGCGACCAGTTTCACGAGTCTCGCCACCGGCCGTGGCGGCCGGTGTTGCAGAGCATCCCTGAAATGGACTGATTGGTGCCGGCCGGCACCGGCACCGACGATCAGTTTGGTTCTTCTTCTTCTTTTCTCGTAGTGTGATTTGATTTTTCTTGTTGGAGAGAGGAGGCGCTGTGCCGGCCGGAAGTGGGTCGCCGGAGCCGGAGCGGCCGCCGTGGGAGAGAAACTTAGAGGAAGATTAGATAAATTAATTAAATTAATTGTACATTTTGTGCAGGTTATAGATTTTGTATATTAAATATAATATACATTTTTTTACCGAAATTCCAATTTTCTCCCTCTCATCAATGCAAAGTTGATTTTTTCTTCGAGAATAATGCAAAATTGGTTTTAGGGAGCTAAATAAAATAGAGTCAGATAAAATTAATTGTTTAATTTTAACACTTGATTATTTATTTTTAGTTTAAAATAGTGTTGTTGTACTAAAAACAAAAACAATTATATAGGTATAAGATTGTAAGCTCCAAATTTTTGAGTGATTTTCACCTCAAGTAATTTTATCATTCAAATACAAATTTAATTTCTCTAGGTTTATCTATATTTTTAAATATTATATCTATACATTTAATTTTAGTGAGCAAAGGAAAACAGAGTGAAAAATAAATGAGAAAGAAAAATAAAGTATTAAAAATGAGATAAATGAAGTTTTTAGGTCGAAAATAAATTATCTATCGCAATTTTCTCCCTCTCATCAATCAAAGTCGATTTTTTCTTCGAGAATAATGCAAAATTGGTTTTAGGTAGCTAAATAAAATAGAGTAAGATAATATTGAATTATTATTTTTAGTTTAAACATATTTTAAAACAATTATGTAGGTGTAGGATTCTAAGTTCCAATTTTTTAACGGTTTTTACCGTGAGTAATTTTGTCATTTAAATACAAAATTTTCACTTAATTTTTTTTTTTACTTTTATCTATATTTTGAAATATTACATCTATAAATTTAATTTAGATTTGTGGAGAAAAAAAGAATTTGAAAATAACTGAGAAAGAAAAAGAAAATATTAAAAATGAGATGAATGAAGTTTTTGAGGTTGAAAATGACTTATCTATCGCAATTTTCTCCCCTTCATCAATGCAAAGTTGATTTTTTCTTCGAGAATAATGCAAACTCGGTTTTAGGTATAAATAAAATAGAGAGACATAAAATTAATCATTTTTAATTTAAAAATATTATTGTTTTACTAAAAAAAATAAAAATGTAATAATAAACTCGATATTTTGACGGCCCAGCCCAAGATTACGGTATCGGCCCAATTACATTTGACGGAGGGCCCAGCCTATATAATTTTGTAACAGAACCCAGCTCTCTCCCGGTCTCGGAATTTGTTTCCCTCTCTCTCTCAGGCGCTCAAAAAATTCGCAGAAAAATTCCTCTCCCGCCGAATTTCTCTCTCTCTCTCTCTCATGCCATCCCAATTATCTTCGCTATATGCGTCGCTCTCTCGTCGTCGGCAAGCTGCTGAGAGTTCACCGTCTTGATGGGTATCTGATAATCTCCATCTTATCCTCGTTTCAGAACTGATTCTTTTGGTATCCATTGCCACTTCTTTTGCTGCGTTTGATTGGTAGCTGAATCTGCTTCTAATTTGTGTTACTGCTTCTTCAATTGCTGAAAATTTTGCATTCGTTTTCCTTCCCAGATCTTGATCTTCCCGTTTGTGCAATCTTATGGCTTATTGTGACGCTCCCTCCTTCTCTCTCGGCCTCGATTTGGATTTTGATTCGGAGCCCCAGATTCCTATACCGGATTGTACCGCTCGGAAGCCTGCTTCTGACTGTTCTGTGGGAGCCAGTGCTTCATCCAAAGAGGACGATTGTGGGGAGGTGGGAACAGGGGTTGTGGGTTGCACTGCGGAAATTGAAAACGAACCACCTAGAAAATTTAAGCGACTGAAGCGTGGACCATCTGGAGGTTCTTCGTTGGCCATGAAAAACGAATCACTGCCTTCATTATCTGTAGTCGATGAGGACATTGAAGAATTTTCATCACAAGAAGACTTTCCCAGAGGTAATATATCTCTTACATTTTGAGTTTTTTATTTTTGTTCTCTCTCTACCTTTCTTTCTTTCTTGAATGGAAAATCAGAAAGGATACTGTCAGAAAATATAGCTCTAAGGTTTTATAAATGACACCCAGAGAATCAGAGAAGCTTTGGATGCTAAATGGTTTATGACATAGGGGAAATTTTCTAGTACTACCATTTTCCATACTACTCTCATTCATTGTTTGTGAAACCAGTTGCATTTAAGAATGATGTGGGGTTTATAAAATAAAATCATGTATTATTTAATGATGTTTCAAATTGTGAGCGAAAGGTTTCATAGTATTAGAAATTTTCCGACACTGGTTATAAAGAATGGCCTTGGACTCGTTTGATATTAGAACTATATTTTTTACTCTTTGTTCAAAGTAGCCTACTGGAGGTTCATACATTCTGAAGTTAACATAATGTTCACGTGTACCTCTGTTGCAGCAGATCACCATCCATCATCACTTTTGCAATGTGTATGCAGTACTTCAAAGGTACCTTTACATGGGATCTTAACTGCTCCCTCTTCCAGCCAGCTAAAGGCAAAGAAAATCAAAGAGACTGTAGATGCACCAACTTCTGCTGGTTTGGAAAAGCAGAATAAGTCAATGTTTTCTAATTTAACTATCAGTCCTCTTCGAAAGTTTCAGTTACTTGATTCCGATTCAGATGATCCTTCTAGCTGTGACAATAAAAGCAGGAAAAGCCACAAAGCTGCATCATCTTTAGACAAGCAAAAGTCTATATTTTGTCACTCTGCAACAGCGCACTACAAAAAGATGCGTTTGACAGCCTGTGTTACTCAAAAGGAGGATCTATGGAAAGATTTTTGTCAAACTAAAAGCTCTCATTTGCCAACTCCAGCCTTTGATGAAGTCTGTGAAGAATTTTTCCAGTTAAAGAAAGATAATAAAGCAGCTACTGAATTAGGAAGTAGTGCTCGTATAAATTGTATGGATAATCAAACTAATAATAGCAGCTGCCCAAATGAACTGATGGATAAGCTCAGTTGCCCTGCTCATTACTATTTCTTTCATGATGATCCAAGGATTCAGAAATTAGTTCGTAACCGCTTACCAAACTTTTTCCCATTGGGAGTTGATGGCAGCAGAGCATCAGTGATTGATTATATGTTAGTAACTCTTCCTATTAATTTTAATTGCTCCTTTTTCATTTAAATAAAAGTTGGCCTCTTTTCTTTCTGACCTTTATCATATTCTACATGTTTTATTGCTGCACTGGCAGGAGACAATTTAACAATGGAGAGGCTTCTACCTGCCGACCTTCACAGGTTAACGTGGAGAAAAGTTCAAAAAGATCAACAGATGTATCAAAAGGGTCTAAGAACATAGCTTCCAAATCTCGGGTTAATAAGAAAGTTCTTTCGCCATTAAGCAGTAAAAAGGCACCTAAAAGGGTATCAACTCAAAAAAATAATATCGGTAACAGTTCAAGAAATGTAAAAGGTAAACAAGGGGCATCAAACTGTGAAGAACTTTTGAAAGATTCTGGAAGCTGGATTGATCCAAAGAGCTCTTTTAGTCTTCCTAGAGATGCTGGGAAAAGAAGGGTCCAGGCAGGTGGCCAATCATCAACTGGTCACTGGTATACATCTCCAGAAGGGAAGAAGGTATGACAATATTGTTCTGCAAACTCAATTTCAATAATTTTCTCAAATGTTCATGATAATAGGCCAAAATAGTTTCAATATACTCTGTTTTGTGCATTCATGTAAGTCACGTACTGATAGATGATTGCAGAAACAACTATTCGGCATTTTCTTTTTCTCTTACCCAGCTTTCTTTAATTTGTATTGATGGTTATATTTTGCCAATGGTGTGGAGCCGTGATGGAGGTTTCCAATATATTGTTAGGGTTGGATAAATGGTGTCTTTACGATTTCTGCAACGGACGATTGTATATTTCTGCTGCAGAAATTAATCTCAAAGTGGTATTTCTTAAATTTTTCTTTGATAGCTTTTCCGAGAGATACTGAGTAATGTCTTGTTATTAGTCTACTTTGGTGGTGTCATTTTCACATATTGACATTACAACTTGAAGAATGATTCTTTTGATAAAAAAGTAAATTCATAAAGAACTTGAAGAATGATTCTTCTAGCAAGACCATTTATTACTTATTTTGCCTAGCTTTCTCTGGCCAATGTTCATACTGTATTACCCATGTCCAGGTATACATCACTAAAAGTGGGGAGGAGTTGACAGGCCGAGCTGCATATAGATTTTACAAAAAGGTAAATCCAAATTCTATTCCTCTGGATTTGGATTTTCTTATGCTCTTTATCAGTTTATTGCACATTCATCACTTCCCTATCTGTTGTTGCCTATAGGATACTGGAGGCTTTAGAAAGTCAAAGAAGAAAGTAGCAAGCAAGAAAAGAAAAGGATAAAGGACACCATTCACGAGAGGCAAAGTTACACAAACGATCCTAGCGTTCGGTTACAATGTTTTCTCATTTCGTCCTTTCAATTACTGTTGGCTGTTTCATTAACATCATTGTTCATAGTACAGTGTACATGTAACAACTTTGTCCAATTTTAGACTAACAAATCAGCCAAAACATGGCAGATTGTTTTCTTGATTCTTTCCCATATATGCATCCCTATTACTTGAGAGTGTAGATCTTAAATGTACCAAACTGTTGATTTAGGCTTAAATTTTGAATGATAGTTGAGCCAGTCAGTTTTCACCAACCCATTCAATATGATAGTGTATATACAATAATTGTTTTATGATTAAGACGACAAGTTTAAGAAGCTTCTGTTATCATGTTTCTTAAATCTTTATTTGACAGGTTTTACTTCCAGCACAAGAGGGAAGAGGGTAGAGAAAAAACTGGTACTGGTTTTAAACATTTTGCCAAATTTGTTTCTTTAGCCAATCAACAAATTACACAACTATTAGGGGGAAAGGGTATTCACCAATGAACTGCCTTACGTTGCTCCTTTGCCTGAAAACTGAACTTTATAATGTTATGTTGTTGAAATGAAGTGAATTCCTTTAGCATTTTAATATTTAAAGATCAAATGTTTGGAAGAAAAATGTGATATTATCTTATCTTAAAATCTTTTGTTGGAGAAGTTGATATTGTCAAGTTTTTGTCAGTTTGACTAAAGACATGTAATGGAGGTTTCGTTATACATTCTCGATTCGAAATCAGTTTTATTGAAGTGAGAGTTGATAGATTTGAGTTCTATATGCTTTCATTTTCAAAATTTTTTTATGGGACTCCACATTATGATCATCTCTTAATTGTACATAACATATTTTAATTTCTACATCATTTCCTTGGTTTATAATACAAATGAATCTGCTTTGTAGTTGTAATCGGTTCATTGTTCTATAGAAAATATTTATGCAGTTGAAAAGTCTAAATTTATATAATCTACATTTGAACTATACCCAAAAAAAAAAAAGTTAAAAAGTTTATACAACCTCGGTTTGATACAACATTTGAAATATTGTAGCGGCTCGCAACTTCGAAATAAACAAACATACATACCAAATATAAACTCGACTTTTCTCCCTCAAAAGTTTTA